GTTCAATCGAATAAGGATCAGAAGTTTTTGAATAATACTCTGAAGAGTGTGTTGATCGATTAGGAATGAACCTTGGCTCGTTGTGTTCAACATAATACTTTAATAATACGATAGCTATTGTTTCATCTTGTGACGGACACAAAACTCCAAGTCATACTTTCATGAGTGCAAGAATTCATTTTTATTCTACTGAGGATAATAGAAGTCGTAATAATATTTCGATAAGTACGATAGTTGCTTTTTGATCCACTTCGAGTCACAGAATTCGAAATTTTTCTCATGAGTACGACGACTGTTTTTGAATCTACATTGAGGGATTAAATTTCAAACGATACTTGTGAATCACGATGATATACTTTTCACGGGCTGTTTTTTTGCATATTCTAAAATAGCTTCCATATTATATTGATCATTTTGGGTTGACTTCTGTTCATGAAATCGTAGATAATACCTCTGAGTTATGATGATAACATCTGGTTCTACATCAGGTCATGCAATTCTAAACAACCATGCTCATATGTGATTATACTTTTTAATTCAGTTAGCGTCACTAGATATCAATTAACGCTTCTCAACTATGACCGTTAGAATTTAGTTCACGTTGGGTCATTGTCATCGGCACTATGATTCCTCTCGAGTTCGCATCGCGTCGGCATATCCGGAATAATTGTTTTACGAGTACCGTGAGTATGTTGCATTAATGGCTGAGTCCTAAAATCAGAAATAACGTGTAGACGATTGGATTATGTATATGCGCATCTATTAAGCTGCTCGAACAGCGAGGTAAACAACAAGCAAACGAATAGTAGACATCGGTAGAAAAAAATTGATTGGAGAAAAATATTGGTGTGAAAAAAATGTTGGTAGGAAAAAAAATAATGTACTTTTTCCCGAATTTATCCCATGATGCTTCATGTACTTGGATCACTGTACAATGGTTCATCAGATTTTTAAACGTATATAAAGGCATGTTAATGCCTTAGTATACCACGCATCAACAGGATTTATGTAATTAACTATCATTCTCTTCGCGGTTACTGAAGATTATCATCAATACATACAGTCAAAGTATTTTTTGGTTTTCTCTTCGTTATAGTCGTGCTCCAATTGTATATGATGTGGTAGCTAGGTAGATCTGAAAAGAATGGTAGATGTGTTTTTTTTTGACGTATATAAAGCTTGAAGAAACTATCTTGGTCTTGTATAAGATAGCAGAAATGCCACTCGTTGTTGTGTTCCGTTTGATTACTCTTCAAGTAATATTATAACAATAAAACTTCGATAAGCAGTATTTTTGTGTATGACTAAATGGCAACATTAAGCTGCAATATCGTCCATGTGTATTCTGTTCTTTTTCTTTGCTCTTTTCCTTTCTTTTCTTTCATATATTATTTCTGTTCTCTAACGCTTAGCCATGCATATGGACATGCATATCAAGGAACCTGTTTTGATTTTTTTTGTATATGCTTGTTTATCGTGTATTGACAAAATAGATAAGAAGAAAGCAGTTAACTTAAACTTTCATACGGATCACAAACAAATGATTCGATAAATGGATCCAACGAATCTGATTGCTTGTGAATATCCACAGTGATTACTCTGAACATCTGATAAGGTAAAAACCTTCCGGGCTTCTTTCTGTATTTTTTTCTGTTCTACCATGGTCTCTCTTTTTATGTATACTCTAATATGCTAGGACGACTATGCCTTAGTATAACCGAGAAACGGAGGTGAAAAGTAAAGAGAGGAAATGAAGAAAAGAAAAGAGCACAAAGAGAATACATATGTATAATAATTGGATGTAATGTTCTAGTCCAGTTCTACATGAAAGCAGTTATTCTTAAAAGTTTATTATTAGGATATTAATTAAAGAGTAATCAAATAGCAAATAAAATTGAGCACTGTTTTTGCTCTCACTACATAGCAACAAAAAAGTTTGCTTCAGCTTTATATACAGAAACAACGTATTTAGGTCGATACGTCTAGATTTCCTCGAGTATATTTACTTTTAAGTACAGAGTAGTTTTTTCACGATTTTTATTTAAAGATAAATATAAATTATTATAGTTGATATTCGAATCAGATATAAGTTATAAAGAACCTATTTTATTTTAAGTATAAATTATTTCTATTTAATTATTAATATCTCACATTATACATTGAATTTAGATTTAAATGAATTCAGTTATTCTATTTCTATTTCATATTTCATCCCTATCAGACGAGCCTAAGCATGCACCAAATCCTGTTTTTAGGTGATAAAGATGACTCATTAACGATGTCAAGAACCGTCAGTTTCTGTCAAATCTTCACTGCAGTCTGATTACGTGTTTACGTGTTTTTCTTCTTCCTCTTACCGAGGTCAAGGATGAAAAAGAAACAGAAAAATTTATTTCATTTGAAATTTAATAAATTGTAAATTAAGTGGCAAAAAGAAATTGTGTATATAATGAATGATGAGACAAATTAAAGATGAAAAAACATAATAATGATGAAAAGTTATGGTAATTTTATATATAAACTATAAAACAAATATTTTTTATTCATTTCAATTTTAATTTCCTCCTAAGTTAATTTCTGCATAAACCAAATCCCAACTGAGTAGAAACTGACGTCTCTAAAATTATTAACAAAATTCATATTTCAGAGAAATTAAAATCATGATAATTTATGTTAATTTTAAAATATGAATGATGGTAATTTCTGGTTAAAAAATATTGATAATGAGTAATATTCTTTCGACCTAAATTCTAATTAGTAATACTATACATCTATTTCAAATTTGCACTAGTACTGATCTAATCTCTACATAAGAGAAATTGAAAGTGGAAATTGACATTGCCGACAATTGCCAACAAAAATTTGTATTGAAAAAATTCATTAAGCTAATTTTTTTAATATATAATATTTAAAAATCAGCACGAGCTATCATTATTTATATTGATCGTAGCTACAAATCATGACAATTTCATATAATGAAAATCTGCAACTTGAATTCAGGCATTCAATTATTTATTTGAAGAAAAGTTGAAGTTGAATTATTCAACTATTTCAATAGTCAATTATCGGATAGTTGAAGTTTAACTATTCAATTATTCGCAGCTGATGTGGGTGCCAAGAAAAGGCTGAGGGGATAGAGGACATTCACAAACACATACACATCATCACAGTAGCTGTGAGTGTCAAAAAAAAGAAATGATTGAATAGTTGAAATCAAGTTTCAAGTTTGACAATACTGTTGGGATGCTAGAGGCATCACCTGGGATACTCGAGGCAACACCTGGGTAGAGATCGAAAATCTAGTTCCGATCGATAAGTTTTTTCAAATATTCAACTATTTGACAAGGGAAGCGCACAGTGAAGGTGAGGAGAAGAGAAGAAAGCATTGCCGAATGCTGCAGTCGAAAAGTTGGGTACTTCAATACTCGAATAGGCTTTTCGACTCAAACTAGGTTTCTGACTTCTAAATGTAAGGGAAAATCACAACAAAACAAATTTTGTTTCAATTTAGGATGATAGGCATCTTACATACTTGAGTTCAAATGAACCTCAGGCATATGTTCTTAACCCTTTGACCGCCGCCACCGTTTATAAACGTCGGGAGCCTCATCTTTGCGTGAACTAAAGTAATCATTCATAATGTATGTTTTTTTACACACATTTGCGTAAAAACAAACGTTGGGCAGCTTGCGCTTCAAAATCCACCATTTTATTAAGGCACGCTGTAGAATTATTCCATAAAAACGAATAAATTTTCTGCAAAACCGTTTCTCCCTTCTCTTATGTCGGCGGTCAAAGGGTTAATAAACCAAAATTCAAATCAATACCAATTTTTGTCAATTCTAGTCAATTTCAATTTCAAACCTACTCAATTACATGCCTATTCAATTCCAATCAATGCTTAGAATAGGCATCGGTCAGACTTAGAATTGGAGCATGTTTATTTGGCCCCATCACAGACGAACAGTCCACATTATATATGTGTTCCATGCTCTCTATCAACGGTCTCAAACAATTCTGTCTTCTGTCGACAATAGGATAATAAAATTGTTCTCAAATTTTTTTAGTCGATTCCTTTAGCCAATCAGAATTCAGGACCTTTGATCTCGTAGAAGGTGTTAGATAGACCTGAGGTTGCCAGAGTAAATCGGTAGCACTTGAAATTCTCTATCCGACTGATCACTCATACTACCGTCTGAAACGACGAATAAGCGAAAAAACTCGCTTCAACATTTGATTGGCTAGTTGTAGGAGCCAACTGAAGAAGAATTAGCCGCGACATTCAACATTCGTATATACAGTGCCCTACTCCCACCCTCTCTGAGGAAAATAGACACGTATAGTTAGCTCTCCCCTCACCCCGCTATCCCAACCCTTCATTTCAGTATAAAATCGAAAGGCTTTTTTCTTTTTCAATTCAAAAGGAATTCAAGTAGACCATTTTATGCGATTTCGTACGTTTTTATTGTGAATCCTCTGTTAATAGAACTCTTGAAAAAGCAATTTTGTGCTGTCTTTACAGATGCACAAAGACCCATGAATGTTATTAATACTGTAGTAAGCTTTTTTACGTTTTGATAGGTCAGAAAAAGACGTTCTTTCTAGACTAACTGTTTTATTTGCGATAGCCTTGCCCGTGTGTTTTCCATTCGCGACCGTAATAAGAATACTATTACATGCTCAAAAATAGAACAAATACTGCAATAGTTCTATCTACACTATCTTCTGTTTCATATGTTTCGAACGATCGAATTTTAAAGTGACTTGATCTAAGTTACTTAATTAGAGCTATTTTTTTCTCAAACTTTGTGTCTTTTTAGATTCTTAAACAAATAGTATTTTCACTAATTAAACATCGAAAAAAAATGATCAAAGCTCCTTTCTTATGCCTTTTTCTATATTGGTTAATTGTCGATGTAATAGCGCTACCCGGCAAAAAACCTTTCTCCGGTCCTACCCTTGATAGCTGGCCAAGAAACGTAGCTGAGAAATTGAACAAGATGATCAGACACAATGCACACAGTGGTTCCTATGCCTGTTTCGATGCCGATCAAACAACTTATCAATGGGATTTAGAAGAATCCACATTTGCCTATCTTGAGATGAAAAACGTTTTAACACGCCAAAAACTTGATCCGGCCCTGAAACTTATTCCATTTCTAGATACAAAGACACATGAAGAAAGTCTCTTCTCTTACTATAATCGCCTCTGTACTGAAATCGATGATAATGTCTGTTATAATTGGCTGGCACAAGCCTTCTCTGGCATGACTCTAAAAGAACTCAAAACCAACGTTGATGAAATGCTTCAGTCAAACACTGGTAATACAAAGATCAAAACTATTTTGACAACATTGATTAACAATGCTATAATTCAGACTGAGTACGATGCACCTATACCAAACTTTTACACAGCCCAACAAGAACTCTATAATCGCCTTATGGCAAATGGAATTGAAGTCTATGTAATTACAGCTTCACATGAAGAACTAGTCCGTATGGTTCTGTCTGATCCAAAATATGGTTACAATGTCAAGCCGGAAAATGTACTTGGAATGACAACACTCCTGAAGAATGGTACTCAGATGACTACATCTCGAAAACAGGTTACAGATAATACTTATGATCAGCGGCAAAATTTAAATTTAACATTCACCTCCTATATGTGGTCTCCTCAAACAATGTTCGCTGGAAAATACGCTGTAATTTTGACCTATATAAGTCAATGGAAAATGCCAGTTTTTGTCGCAGGTGACACGCCCACTAGTGACGGTTATATGCTATTTCATGCCTATAATCAACAACGAGATACACTTCGTCTCTGGGTAAATCGAAAAGATGCCTATCTAACTCTAATTCAACAGATGCAAAATCAGAACGCTCAAGAACAGCAACAAAATGGGCTTAGAGTCACGGCTGATAAAAACTGGATATATGTGAAGCCGAACGATCTTGGACCCATAAAACCGATGGGATCAAGGACTCAAGTGCTGAAATCAGAATTTTTCGATTAGATTGATGAAACCGATTAAACTGATTTTTTTCTCGATCTTTTTATTTAAGAGACAGTTCATGGAAAATCCACACATACCGAATCAGGATGTGACTTTATTATATACTTTATGAAATAAAGATAAATACAATCTCTTTTCTTTATAAAATAAAGATGAATAAATCATTTATTTTTGAAAAATAAAGAAAATATGAAGATAAAAAATTAAAGATTTTTTTCTATGATTTAAAAATAAACAAATCCGTGCTGTAATAACACAATATGTCAAGTGAAATTTTATTCATTAAATATATTTCACCGATTGCAAAACCAAATGTGCAGAATAAGCATGTTGAAAACAAAATAATGAACTCATTATTTTTGTATGACGTATTTTCTTAAAAAAATCTGCCTCTCTCATTTAACTGAGCTCCAGCATTACAGGCAGTCCTCAAGTGAAATCATACTAGCAATTCTTTTCAATCTATCCATATTTTAACAAGAGGCCGATCAAAATGCAGTTGAGGCTTTGATCACGAGGGGTACTTTATTTTGTTGATACTGCTTTGATCAATGTTCACCCGACTGTCTGTTATTAGTTTCGATAGTTTAATCATTTTTTCTCGACAAGGTCATAAACAAAGATTGCAAGCTCACCATTTTAGTTTTTAGTTTTTCTAACTTCATCACAGAAAATATTAACTACAGCTAATTAATTATTCAATTCCTATCTTTCTCTTCTCCTTGAAGGATGTCGTGAAATACGAAGTTTCGATTTCTTTCAGCATAGTCCGTGGCAATACTGTAAAACAAGTTCATTCGGATATAATGAACATATACATGTGTCTCGTATCGTTTCTTCACAATTAGATGCCACCTATTTCCTATAGCTATATATGAGATAAAAATTCTTGTATGACTGCAGCTTTACAAGATTAATATGGACTAATAATTTATTTCTGTGCATAATAAGATATACAAAAATGAAATATATTTAGCATTATCGTGGCATGGAACTATTGAAAAAGATTCATTTAGCATAAACATTATATACACGCATATTTGGTCACCTGTATGTGATGGCAAATTCAACACTGAGTCCAAAGAGCAAAAAGTAAGTTCTGGTTCCTAACAGAACCCAACATGAGCCAGGATCCAAGGATCGATTTTTCTCTTTTATCAACCCAGTGGACAATGGGCTATCGTTCAATGTGTTACTTTCTCGCAGGACTCTTGAACAGGTGCCAAGTAATCAATTGTCAATAAATCATGCTTCGTTAATTATTCAAACAGGGTGACCATTTCCGTGACTATTCACTACTGAAAAAAGTCTGATTGATGAATCGCTGATAACACAAAAATTGCCGGCTACGCCAATATTTAAATATTCGAGTCATATCCTATGCTTTTGACGATTTCATCTTTTTACGTACTCATAGTGCTTTGATAGATCATGCACACTTGAGGGTGTGGGTGTGGGTGTGGGTGTGGGTGGGTGTGAGTGGGTGTGGGTGTCGATGTGGGTGTGGACCCGGGTGTGAGTGTGAATGTGGGTATGGGCAATAGCCTAGTTGTCGCTGTGGATGTGGGTAGGGTATGGCTGTTGGTATCGGTGTGGGTGTGGTTCTATACAATTATAACTCACATCCACATCCACATCCATACCCGCATCCCACGGCCATACCGACACCGACACCCACACC